CCTGGCCATTTTTTGGTTGCAGCCATCATTGTTGTTTGGCGGGCCCAGGCTGGGGATTTGAACCTGCCACCTCAGGTGTATGTGGCTGGGGCCTTAGCTGCTTGAGCCATAGGCGCCGAGCCCAGAGTCTTATTCTGTTGCCTACGCTAGGGTACCATTGCTTTACCGGTGCCAAAGTCCTTAGGTTCAAGCCATTCTGACTCAGCCTCCCAAGTAGCTGGGACTACAGGTGTCTGCCATGATACCCTGCTAATTTTTCTATTTTCAGTACAGCTGGGATCTCTCTCTTGCTCAGGCTGATTTTGAATTCTGAACTCAAGTGATCCTTCTGCCTCAGCCTCCCAGATTGCTAGGAGTACAGGTGTGAGCCACCATGATCAGCCCTGTCTAACGTTTAGAAAAGAATTTTTTTGTAGAAATGGGTCTCACAATGTTGTCCAAGCTAGTCTCTGAACTCCTGGCCTCAAGCAATTTTCCTGCTTTGGCCTCCTGAATATTTAGTCTAGAATTTTAATGTAGCATATCATGTTATTTGGGAACATGGAGAAGAGTTAAGGGTTGTGTATGGTTCACTGTCAGTCTAGGCTTACAACTGAGTAAGTCTAATTAGCCAGGCAAAGAAGACTGTGGGAGGAGGGGAAGGACTGTTCTGGGTAGAAAGAAAAGCATATATAAAAGTTTGGAGATCAGAGTTATAGATGGTTTGATATCAGTTTAAGAGGAAAGGGAGTAAGAAGGAGATAGGAGTCTGTTGGGGAAGTGGATAGGATATGATGCTAGAAATGAAAATAGATCCAGGTTATATAAAACAGTATGTGCTAAACTGAAGAGACTGCCATCTTAATTTGTCTTTAAGTCTAAAATTTTGGTCTTGAGTAGGCTGGGCAGGGTGGATCACACCTTTAATCTCAATGCTTTGGGAAGCCAAAGCAAGAGGATCGATCACCTGAGGCCAACAGTTTGAGACCACCCTGAGCAGCAGGGTTCTCAACCTGTGGTTCACAACCCCTTTTTTCCGTTTATAACAACGCATCAATTAGGAAGGTTGAGAACCACTGCTGTGCAGCATAGCAAGACCTTATCTCGAGGAAAAAAAAAAATTTTTTTTTTTTAAGTTAGCCAGTTGTTGTGGCATATACTTATAATCCCAGCTATGTGGGAAGTTGAAGCACGGGGATTGCTTCAGCCCAGGAGTTCAAGGCTACAGTAAGCTTATGATATACTGATGTGCTCCAGCCTAGGTGACAAAGCAAGACCCAGTCTCAAAATAAATACATAAATGAAATAAAACTTTCATCTTGAGTGCCTACATCCATTGACCAGGAGTAGATAGAAGTAGAGCTGTTACAATACAGGCAAATGCTGTAGTGATTAAATTCTGGAATTCTGGATCTGCCAGTGTTTAAAAGCCATCTCTCCCACTTCTGTAGAGATAGTAACCTTCTGCAAGTAATTTAACTTTATAGTTCCTCAGATTCCTCATGTACAAAATAAGGATGTTAATGATGACCATTAAGTTACTTAATATATGTAAAGCTTTAGAAGAGTGCCTGGCATGTAGTAAGCAAAATATGTGTTAACTGTTACTAGCATTCTGAAACAATAATGTATTATCAATAACTGCTATCAACCATCCCAGCTTGAAAAATGTGATACTACAGAAAAGTTTTTTTTTGAGACAGAGTCTCTCACTATGTCACCCTGGATAGAGTGCTGTGGCGTCACAGCTCATAGCAACCTCAAACTCTTGGGCTTAAGTGATTTCCTTGCCTAAGCCTCCCAAATAGCTGGGACTACAGGCGCTCACCACAACACGCAGCTATTTTTTGGTTGTAGTTGTCATTGTTGTTTGGCAGGCCTGGGCTGGATTCAAACTTGTCAACTCTAGTTATGTGGCTGGTGCCTTGGACGCTGAGCTACAGGAGCCCAGCCTACAAAAAACTTTTAAAAGAAGATTCATATAACTTTTTATTATCCTCTTTATGACTTCGTAAAACTTCTGATCTCCAAGTGGAAATAGGGAATGACCAACATAACAAACATGAAATAAATTGTTAAGAAATCTTGCAAAATGTATTGTTTCCTTCTCTTTTTTAGCAGTGAAGCAGGGGACGCTTTATTTTTATTATTAAATCATAGCTGTGTACATTAATGCAATCATGGGGTACAAGGTGCTGGTTTTATATATAATCTGAAATGTTATCATCAAACTGGTTAACATAGCCTTCGCGGCATTTTGTTAGTTATTGTGTTAAGATATTTATATTCTACACCTAGTAAATTGCACATGTACTCTTGTAAGATGCACCGTAGATGTGGTCACACCAATTACTCTCCCCCCAACAGTCCTCCCCCAAGGGGATGCTTTTTTAAAAATTGTGGTGAAAGCCACCTAATGTAAAATTTACCATTTAACCACTTTTAATTATGTGCTGTAGTGGCATCAAGTACATTCACATTGTTACTCAACTGTCAGCACCAGGTATTTCTAGAACTCTTTTTCTTATTTTACAGACAAATCAAGAGACATGTGGAACTCTTCATCTTGTAAAACTGTAACTGTACCCTTTAAGCAGCAACTCCCCATTCTGTTCTTTTCCCCAGCCTCTGGCAACCGCCATACTACTTTTTGTCTTTTTGACTTTTACTACTCTAGATAATCCATGTAAGTCGAACCATATAGTATTTGTCCTTTTGTGACTAACTTATTTAACTTGTCATAATGCCCTAAGGTTCTTTCATATTGGGTGTGTGTCAGAATTTTCTTCCTTTTTCAGGCTGAATAATAAATACACCAGATTTTGTTTATCCATTCATCTGTTGATGAATATTTGGATGGCCTCTTTCTT